ACACACACACACACAGACACACACAGACACACACACACACACACACACACCCCTCTCTTTTGGGAACAAAATCCATTATTTTAGATGACTGCAAGTTTATGTAATGAGGTGGGGTTGCTCTTAGGAGACTCACCTGGGTCACTGGGCTCTACCCACTCCAGTGAAACAGGGACAAATGATGCCTCCCCAGGGCTCCTCTGAGTGTTTGGTCAGTCAGCTTTGTCCAAGCCTCCGTCTCAAACAAATGAGAGTCTATACTGGTATCTTGGCTACAAGGGTGAGAAAGAGTGGCCCCTGTGGATCCAAGAGAGACAAGAAAAGGCAGGGTACAGGGAAGAAACCGAAAACTGAAAATTAAGCATGTACTTTGAGGAATCAAATCCAAGGGGCCAAGCAGGAGTAGAATGAGGCTACAGGAGTAGGATTCCTAACTCACTGGTGTGGTTGGAGTCTATAGGGTCACTATGAGTCAGAATCAACTCGATGGCAATGGGTTTGTTTTTTTTCCAGCACCTAAACCTCAGCAATCAGGGTAACTGGCCAGGGGAACTGCAAGGAGATAGAGCCAACTCAGGCAAGATGTGGCAACAAAGATCCCAAGTTAACCACTCACCTGTGGGTCCAGTTGTACAGCGCGTTGTGCTCAGCCTCATTCTGACTATCGGATTTTGACTGCTGATTTGCTCCCACATACACATTAAACCACGAGTAAGCTTACATCATGCCCTAGCCCTGGGGAATAAGATAGAATTCCTCATACCTCACGTTTGTCACAATCCCTGCAGCTTCTACTTCCAGATTTCATTGCCAACAAGTGCACCACTCAGGGGGCCAGAGAAGACAGGGGATAATGTTTCTAGAAAAGAAAGATTGGTCACAAGGGGTGCCTAGAGACAAAAGCTCTATTTGTTTATCTTTAAATTATTACCATGACTGCAGATTTTCAAGTATCTGGATGTCTCGAGTCCACTGTACTCAGCACACTACTCTGTGAAAATGCTCTTTAACTGTTTGAAGTGTGGGGCTTATCTATCCAATAAATAATCGTTTCACTAAAGGTATACGGTTTTTACATATCCACCACTTAGTTCACCTATTTCCTCTCCACTCACTTCTAATTCTCAGCAAAATTAAGATATAATAAATTTTCTTCATCCTGTCTGGAGTTTAGCCCATTTCTTTCCCTCCCAGATAAAGCTGTCACATGGAGAAATCAACTCCACAAGCTAAATACAAGCAACTAGAACAATAAAGAGAGGTATTTCAGTGAATTCAGGAAAAGGGAGTTAAATTCTTAACTGAAACAATATAAATTATGTTAGGCTTCACAGCAATTAGTAAACCAGTGATACCATTCATTCATTTGTTCCACTGGTGGGGGGGAGGGTTAAAAACAAATAAGAGATGATGCCAACCCATGAAGAGTTAAAGAAATCTAATCAGGAGATAAGACGTGTATATGTAAAGGTAAATTAGAAATACAGGGCAGATTATAACAGGGGTATATGATGGGCAACATCAAATGCTATAAGAGAAAGGAAAAGAAGAGTACTGTGGATTGAGATTGGAGGTGGTTTCACATAGAAGGGTCTTGAATTACTGACAATTTGGATATGCAGAAAAAAGGGAAGGCATTCCAAATTTGGAGTTAGACACAAAGGTGCTGAGGTAGGAATGCCATGGCCTGTTTGATGGGTATCTTAGTCATCTAGTGCTGCTATAACAGAAATACCACAAGTGGATGGCTTTAACAAAGAGAAGTTTATTTCCCCACAGTAAAGTAGGCTAAAAGTCCAAATTCAGGGTGTCAGCTCCAGGAGAAGGCTTTCTCTCTCTGTTGGCCTTCTCATCAATCTTCTCCCAGACCAGGAGCTTCTCCACACAGGGACCCCAGGTCCAAAGGATGCACTCTGCTCCCAGCACTGCTTTCTTGGTGGTATGAAGTTCCCCCTCTCTGCTCACTTCCCTTTCCTTTTTATCTCTTGAGAGAGAAAAGGTGATACAGGCCACACCCCAGGGAAGCTCCCTTTACATTGGATCAGGGATGTGACCTGGGTAAGGGTGTTAAAATCCCACCCTAATCCTCTTTAAGATAAAATTACAATCACAAAATGGAAGACAACCATACAATACTGGGAATCATGGCCTAACCAAGTTGACACATATTTTGGGGGGACATAATTCAATCCATGACAATGGGGGAAAACCTGAATGGGATAAAGAGACTTTGGGTGAAGAACAATGGGAAACAAGTTTGAAAGGTAGACTAGGGTGTGACTGTGGAGCATTTTTAATGATGGCTAAGTAATGTGTGATTTGTCACATATGTCTTGGGAACTGTTGAAGGATTTTGAACCAGAGCTTCGAACCAGTTCTAAACGGTTCCAGTCATGGCTAATAGAAACAAGGTAGGGCTTTGAACCAGTTCAGAGTGGTTCAGTCATGGCTGATGGAAACAAGGGCAACATACATGTTGCATAGCAACCAAATCTCTTGTTGGTTTTTGACCCAAGTAGGAAAAAGGCAGTGGTGCCCCACTCAAAGATGGAGGGCAACCACACCACTTTGAATGTATGTCACTCTCCACAGTCCTGACAATAATCCAATCTCCTGCTTCTCTCCTGAAAGTTTTCTGATGTGGGAGATTGGATTATTGGTAGGACTGTGGACAGCGACACTCATTCAAAGCAACACAGTTGGCCACCATCTTTGAGTGGGGCACTGCTGCCTTTTTCCTACTTGGGTCAAAAGCCAACACAAGAGATTTGGTTGCTATGCAACACATAACATTTCCTTCAGCCGTGACTGAACTGCTTCAAGCTGGTTCAAAGTCCTGCATGGCTTCCACTGGCCATGACTGAACCTTTAGAACCAGTTCAAAGCCCCTTTTTTGAACAAAACAGTGATGTGATAAAGTCAGTGTCTCAGAAGATTAATCCAGCAGTAGTACACAGAATGGACTGCAGAGGAAAGGAGAGTGGAGGCGGAAAAGAGGTAGAGGTCAGTTGCAATAATCTAGGTGTAGGATGAGAGTCATTCATTCATTCAACAATTATCTAATGTTTTCCATGTATCAAATACTATTATAGGTACGGGGTATGGTGGTGAACAAGAAAGCAAGGTAGTTGCCCTCATGGGGTCCATATCACAATGATGAGACTCTTTAATGTCAGACAATATCAGAGAGTGACAAGTACAGAAGAAAGTGACAGTAACTAAGGCAGGTTCTTGAAGTAGGGTACTCTGAGCAGGTGTTGTTTGAGCTGGGAGTAAAGATAGAGAAGGTGTAAAGATTTGAAGGGGCACTTTAGGGAGAGAAAACAGTAAGTGCAAAGGCCCTAAGATGAGGACAAACTTGAGTCATTGGAAGAAACAGAAAGAATGTTGCGGCTGAAGCACAGTGAACAAGGGAGGAGTGGTAGGAAATGGGGTTAAAAAAAACGTCAGCAGGGGTCAGATGATGTAAGACCTATGGGTTATGTTAAGGAATTGAGATTTTAAACACAACTAGAAGATTTAGAGGAGGAAGTGACATGATCTCACATATATTTTTTAAGATTGTTTCAGCTGTGGTGTGAAGAATGGATTGTGGGGACAAGAGTGGAAGCAGGACCCAGTTAGGCAGCCTCTGCAGTAGTCTGGGTGAGAGAGGATGGTGGCATGGACTAGGTGGAAACAGAGCTAACAAGACTGGCCGGTGAAATGGATATGAGGGATTAAAGAAAGGATGGCCATCAGGACAATCAGTTTTTGGTCTTGAGCTTCCAGGTGGGTGGCAGTGCCATCTACTAAAATGAGGAAAACTGAGGCAGGAGAGATTGAGAGATGCATGGCACCAAGTGCGTGGTTTAGTACATGATGGAGCTAAAGTAGAGGGTGGCGGATGCAGGTTTGGTACTTAGGAAAGGCCAGAGCTGAAAATAAAAATATGAGACTCCATTGTTTAAGGATTGTATTTATAGCTATGGAACTAGATGATATCATCTAAATAACTTAAAGAAAAGAGAGCCCAGGACAGAGTCCGGAGGCAATCAACATTTATAGGTTGAGAAAAGAAGAGTTAGCAGAAGAGGCAAAAAGAATGGTTAGTAAGGTAGGAGGAAAACTAGGAATGTGTGTTGTCACAGAAGCCAACAGACAAAGTGTTTCCAGAATGAGGGAGTGGTCCGTTGTCTTGCAAAGTGATGAGGGCTTGGACTAGAAGAGGAACAGTGAAATAATCTATCACAAATCAGATGAGACAGGATGTGCCTTATATTGCACTGAAGAAATGCCTACCCCTATAATGAACTACCTTGTCTGGTTTCCTGCTTAATTTAACATCTTAAGCAAAAAGGAGGTGTTTCTGGTGAGGCTAGGAGGCTGGGAGAGAAGAGTGAAGACAAAAGTTGACTTGGTATCTTAAAATGAGATAAAAGATGTAAAAATCATAGGTTATAAAGCAGTATAGGGAAATAAGGCTTAACTACTGATTGCTAAAAGTAAGGTATTATTATTAATAACAGTAATGATTTTATTGATTGGAATGTGAGATTTAAATCTTAATAAGAGTTAATAACAGTTTCAGACAGAGAATTCCAAAAATTAAAAAAAAAAAAGACAAAAGAAAGAGCTGAACACCTGAAACTATTGCCCCAAGATAATCTTTAAACCTTAAACCAAAAATATTCCCTGAAGTCTTCTTAAAACCAAACAACAGTTTAGCTTAACTAGTAAAAAAATGTCTTCCTTGAGTATTATGCTCTTTCAAGAACTATCTACATGTCAAATTGACAACAGCAACTTGAAAGATTAGATAGGAACCTTGGGGAGAGTGAATTTATGTTAATGGAGGAGGAACAACTTAGAAAAGGAGGGTGAGAATGGTTATGCAACGCGAAGAATGTAATGAATTGTCAATGCACTGTGCACGTAGAAACTGTTGAATTGGTGTATGTTTTGCTGTGTATATTCTCAACAACAATAAAATTAAAAAATACAGAAAAGAAATAGCTGAAAATTTCAGATTGTAAACATTACTTAAATAGGAATTTCTAAGACAGAGTATCACTGATTAAAGATACAAAATATCCACTACTAAGGATGTCACTAAAGGAGCCCTGGGGGCACAGTGGTTAAACGCTTGGCTGCTAACCGAAAGGTTAGCGGTTTGAACCCACCAGCCACTTTACAGGAGAAAGATGTGGCAGTCCGCTTCCATAAAGATTTACAGCCTGGGAAACCCTATGGAGCAGTTCTACTCTGTCCTATAGGATCACTAGGCATGGGAGCTGACTTCATGGCAATGGCTTTGATTTTTGGTTTAAGGATGTCACTAAGTTTCAGTCAGCCTGAATATCTAGACTAGCAAATACCTTGGCACCAGATACTGGCTTAGCTTACTAAGGATTCACAAAATTACAGAAGAAGGCACCAAAATTTAATTTTCAAGGAATGGAGATTTTATTCTGACAAGTAGAACACAAACGCCAGTTCCATTCCAGTTGCTCTTCCCCAATGCTTGCCCTTATTTTTCAAAGAGGGAAACATTCACTACTGTTATTTTACCCATGGATATCCTCAATCCATGTATATGAAAACAGAAGCTGCCTAGGTAATGGAAAAGTTGGACTTTATTGATAATCTTTAAAGACAAAACTTGTTCCAAGTAGTAGATCTGAATAAATTGTCTAGAGAGGTCAAATATATTTAAATGAACATGCTCTCACTAACTCATCAATCAGGGGAATTAAGCACAAATGGTATAATTCTTCATTTAGAGCTTTAAAGTTACTCTTCACATAGTTTTAGTTAGAAGTAATTATGTTTAAATTTGCTGAGTGCATTGTTAGATGGTTTCATAAAAATAAACCCCAA